TTCAAGTGAACAGGGCAGTGATAACTGAGGTTGAATGTAAGTTGGTCTGGTTGTTTTCATAGCATGGTAGCAGCTGAATACCAGAACAGATTTGTAAAGCAGTCACTTTAGTAATAAATGGGGAAATAAATGTACACACGTCAGTAATTGACAGCTTCCAGTTCCTGGGAACTAGTTATACTGTTTTGTGGCCTTTTAAAAATCTGCTTATAAGCTTTAGATTTATCTGTTTTTAAGATGCTGTAATGGAAACCATCCTAGTTTCGGGTTTCGCTGTCCTAGCTGAGTAATGTTGGTTTAGTAGGTTTCTTTCCTAGTCTTTTTTTAAACCAGTTTAAGGAACCTCCAGAGACTCGCCCACCTCTAAATGTCTGATATTGTTCATGTCATTAGCAACTACGTGGTAATGACGACGCAGTTCTGGGAGAATGAATCGAAGTATGATAGAACCCATAATCTAGGTGGCAGTGGTTAAGTCAAACTGCCTTTACCTTCTTTCTCTGGCCTTTAAGGTTAAACACAAGAGGCCTCCCTACTTCACAAGTCAGAATCATTTGTGGTTCACTTAAATGCCTTCATCTTTATGCTCTGTTTTGATAAATTGCATAGTTTTAGTGCAGAAAATTACAGTCTCCAGCTTTAATAGCCAAATAACTTATTTATAGGGACCATGACACTTGCTTGGGTCAGAAAAACTGAGGTTTACACTGACCATATTTCTGTGATCTTTCTGAATTAGACTAAACTGATTAAAACAAGAGTGTGCAAAACTAACAGGATTAAATATCCAGCCTATAAAATATTTTTTAAGGAAAATAAAGTTGATTTTTTCCTTTTGGTAATTAGATAAGATCATAATGATGTCCAGTGATGAAAAAATACCAAGATATCAAAAGTAAGAGACAATATCACCCAAATATTACAATGTAGATGAGGGCATTTTTTCCGGGAAAAATAGTGGTGATCATAAGGCATCTTATTAAACTTACGTTAAAGGGGAAAAAAAATTAGAAGATAAACAGATTGTCACTGGGAGAAAATCAAGCTTAAGATTAATAAAAAAACACCTCTAGGAATATTTAAATTCCTTTCCCATAACGAAAGCTTTTCTTAGTGGCAGAAAAATGAAAATTAGCTACTCCTAGTATACAGAATATATAATCAGACTGTTAGTATATAGAATGTTCAACTTTTAGTATATAAGATAGCAAGCAAGTTGGGGAAGCATAAAAGTTACTATTGCTCATAAGTAATAACAGTCATTATTTTAAAAACAACTATAGTAAGAAAACATTCTGAACGCAAGTGTTTGTCTTATAGCTTTCTTCTTTAGTGCATTCTGTGAGAAATTTAAGTACTGTTTTTGGCAGTTGAAATGTACATATTAAGGAGAAGTTATGAGTTGAGCAATTCTGTTTTAGATTTCCCAAATAATATATTGCCATTGCTGAAGTGTTTGAGAGAGTAATTGAGTCTGTGTCTAGCTAGCAGACAAGCATTTAATTTGTACGTGCCCGGTACTGCAGGGCTATGTAAAGTCAAAGAATCTCTACAATAATTCTTCCCCTACAGCTTTCAGATTCAGTAACTGCTACGACAGGGAGTCTTCTAGCAGACAGAAGAAAATGAGCATACCTTTTAAATGAGTTACCACCTATCCTGAAGATGTGATATATTAAATGAATGTAAATAAAGTTTCATTATCTCTGAAGTGTTAATGTTATTTTATTTTGTGGGGTTTAAAAAAAAATGCAGACTCATTTAAGCAAAAACTTAAGTAAATTCAGATAAATGAACATGAAACTGTTATTAAACTCCTTTCCTCACCTGGCCTGTAATTTCTCTCTGGTGGTTACCACCTGTCAGAGGAAAGACTCCCTAAAGAAAACATACCATGGGATAATATATTCATAAATGATTTATCTGATAAGAGGTTAATATCCAAAATATACGAAGAACTCAAATGGCTCAACACCAAAAAAAAACCCCATTCAAAAGTGGGGGGAGGACCTGAGCAGACATTTTTTCCAAAGAAGAAATACAGATGGCCAAAAGGCACATGAAAAGATGTTCCACATCACTAATCATCAGGGAAATGCAACTCAGAACCACAATGAGCTATCACCTCACACCAGTGAGAATGGCCACTATCCAAAAGAAAAAAATAACAAGTGTTGACAAGGATATCGAGAAAAGGCAATCCTCCTACACCATTGGTGGAAATGTAAATTGGTGCAGTCACTGTGGAAAGCAGTATGGAGGTTCCTAAAATCAGAAATAATACATGACCCAGTAATTCCACTTCTACAAGTTTAGCTGAAGAAAACAAAATCCCTGACTTGAAATATGCACCCCTGGTTTATCACATTTACAACAGCCAAGATATATATATAAGCAACCAAAGTGTCCATCAATAGATGAATGGATAAAGATGTGGTACATATACACAGTGGAATATTATTCAGCCATAAAAAAGAAATCCTTCCATTTGTGACAACATGGATAGATCTAGAAGGTATTATGTTAAGTGAAATGCCAGAGAAAGAAACAAAAACAAAATGAACAAAAGAGCAGTAGACTCACAGACAGAAGTGACTGGTGGTGACCATGGGGGAGGGGTGGGGGTGGGCGAGTAGGGAGGGTGAGTGGGATTAAAGGGCACAAAGACTAAGTCATAATATAAATTAGTCTCAGGATCACGGCACAGCATGGAGAATATAGCCAGTGATTCTGTAACATCTTCCTGTGTTGACAGAGAGTAACTGTACTAGTTGGGATGAGGATTTAATAATATGGGTAACTGTTGAACCACTGTGTTCTGTACTTGAAACCAATATAAGGTTGTATATCAATACCACACACACAAAAAAAGAATATACCAACCAATAAAAAGCACTACCAATAATGAGCACTAGATTTAAAGGAAGCCTAGACTGTTTTCCACTGGCATATTGCGTTACACACTCTCATATTACAAGTTGGTGTATCACATGTATTTTGATATAAACACTTCTAATATGTGCCTCCTTCCAACATGTCTTTTTTTAAAAAAGAGACCAAGAAAAGAACTAAAAAAAAAAACCTACTTCTGGTTAGCTTCATCTCTTACATCTGCTTTTGTAGGCTTCTGCCTAGAATCAGTCTTTAGAGTAATAGATACAATTTACATCCTTAGCTATCAAATATTACAACTTTATGTAGTATGTCAGGAAAGTAAATATTATTTCAGAATGACCTTAATATTTTCTGGCTCCTAAGCTTGTAAAACTTTAATATTCACCTCACAGCAGTTATAGAGGTTCTTTGGTTAGGTCAGTGGTTCTCAAGTGCACGGGTGCACCAGACTTTCTTTGGGGGGATGGGATTAAAACAGACTACTGTTCCCAAAGTTCCTGATTCACTGGGTCTGGTGCAGGGCTGAAAAATTTGCATTTCCAGGTTCCCAAATGTTGCTGATGGTCCAGAAACCACACTTTGAGATAAAACTGCTGAATTAGGTAAATGCTATCTTTATACTTAGTATACAGAGATTTCAGACCGAACTGTCCATTATCATCACCTGAGCAGCTTTTCAAAAATACTGCCTCCACCAATTCTGACGTTAATCTACTGTGGTGCCCAAGTACTGCTATGCTTTTAACTCATTAATTCTAATAAGGAGAGAGGGCTGAGCCACTATTAGAGACTGCTAGTAAGGCCAAGAATCCCAAGGTATGGAGAGTCTCTTAGGTAACTAATTCTCCTGGTTGAGTTTCCTATGCTGCTTTAACATATTAGCACAAATTTAGTGGCTTAAAACAATACAAATTTATTAACTTACAGCTCTGGAGGTCAGACACTCAAAATGGGTCGGCAGGGCTCTATTCCTTCTGGGTATTGAGGGGAAAATCCATTTTCTTGCATCTTTTCAGCTTCTAGACACTGCCTGCAGTCCTTGGCTTGTGGCTCTCTAGTACGCAACCTTTTTCCCTTTTATAGGGACCCTTGTGATTGCATTGGGTCCACCTGGGTAATTCAGGGTACTCTCTCCAGCTCAAGGTCTTTAATTACATCTGCAAAGCCTTTTGCCATGTAAAGTAAGATATTCAGTTGTTCTTCTTTGTGGGGGAGGGGGAAGCATTATTCTGCCCACTCCAGGAAGTCTGTCTTTGGTATAGAAATTTCATTATTAGAAAGCCCTCCCCACCAATACAATATAACAGCAAAGAGGGATCTTAATGTTGGGATGGAATTAAAACAGGGTTAGTGGAAAACTACCCTAACCTCACCTAAGTAAAAGACTGGAGGTTTATCCTCTGAAGATACTAAGACTTTTGGAGTAGGGCACAGGCAGAGTTGAGGGAGGGAACTTTTATTAAAAACAGTATTAATGATTAAATGTTGAGACCCATTTTCCCCACCCCACCCTCTCCCATGAGGCTCTTGGATGTATGTTAGACTCTGAGTAAGCAGATCAGCCTAAGAGCAGACACCTCTGATCTTGAAAATTTCTCCAGAAGTTTCTCAGCCCAAATCACTTTTGTGAAGCAGTCTGTTTTTCTTGTGTGCTCAGAACTTCTGATCAGCTTTTTGGTCTTTCACTCTTTAATAAAAAAAAAAAACTCAGGAAAGCCACCCTAACACAGGCTCAAAATTAAGAGAGAGGGAAAAAAAGGTGCAGGGAGCTGGGGGGGACTTGGAAACAAAGGAATATAAACCATACCCTCTGAGAAATAAGAAATTACATCCATGAAACAATGCTAGAAAAAGGAAGCATTCAGATGACAGGAGAGCTTACAGATGTTGAAAATACAAGAAAAATGAAAAGTTCAATAGAAGGATTTGAAGGTAAAGCTGAGAATCCTAGCAAGTAGAACATAAAGGCAAAGAAATGGAAGTAAGAGAAAAAAGATAGGAAAACTTGACTAGTCTGGCAGGCTCACACTAAGCTTCCATTACCCATTTTATTCTACTTAATTATCTCCTCTACTGGCATTATCTCATAAGTAAAATCTACAAAACCCATTTGCAAATTTTATTTCATTAACTTAAAAGGTGAACAAAATTGTATTTCAAATCTTATTAAACTCATTTATCTGAGACATGTTATATAGAGGACCAACAGACACAGGATTCCAAGTAACTTATGCTAGAGTCCAGTGTCCATTAAAAAATTTGCTTCATTCTTCACAAAAACTGTTGAAAGGCAAAAAAAAATTTTCTTTTATACTGCATAAGAGCTAGATGCAAACTTCTGATGTAAATTTGTTTGATTGTCAAGTCTGATACTGAAGCTGGGAGGCACAAATGTTCAGAGTTCAGTTACATGATGCAAACAAAAAGCTTCCGTTTCTCTCCGGTGTAATTAGAAGCTTCCATTCATGTCTCTGACCAGCAGCGTCACAGACTTGACTCTCACACCAGGTCACTTCTTCTTCTTTCCTTTACCTTTTTTACTACCCTCTCCTTGCTGAAGACTTTGGTCAGCACCTCCTGTTTTCTGTGTCCTTGTTTTTAGTTTAGGTATCATTTCCGCAGCATACAACATTACTGACTTACCTAGGAACCAGAAGTTAGGCTTAGTGTACAATCTGAGAAATAAGACATTAAAAGGTCATTAACTTGAAAATCATAAAGTTGAAGAAATCACATCAAGAAACTGAGGATTTAAAAAGAAAAAATTAAATGACCATAAAGATGACTTGCTCAAGTGGGGGCCTTTGCTGTAGAAAATGTACAGAGATTTTTACAATGTACAAATATTTAAATGAATGACATCAACAATATTCAAAACACTTTATTTGAAATGGAAATTTCGGTCTTGGTCATAGTAAATGACTTGAAGATGGAAGGATAATATATCTGTTAAGTTGGAAACACAGTCAGGATATCATTTGTACTTTAAGCTACGGAAACACACAGCTTCTCAGTCTTTTAACAAAAACCCAATGCCATCATGCTCTAGAAGATGTTGCTCACATGCCCAGACGACTTATGCATACATGTTCGCCTGCTCTGTGCACCAATCACCTCCTCCAGCTCCAGTGATGGCGCTCAACACATCAGGCCCTTCAGCTTTTCTTTTTCCTTTATTACTGGCAACAGGGAGCAGTATACTTTCAACTGTCATTTTCTGGCCACCACCTGTCCTCACTCCCCACCTGCTGCTCGCCACTAGGTTAACCACTATCTTAAGACTGCGTGTTTTCTTCCAGTCTATTTCAAAAACATTTACACAGATAATATCAATAAATTACATATACATGTCAATAAATAGTAGTATTTTGTATTTAAATTTACCTGAGTGGTACTACACTATGCATGTATCTTGCTTTTTTTCACTCAATATGGCTTTTTAGATTTATTAATGATAGAAATTATTAACAGACCTCAAGAGTCTCTAGGATATATGGCAATTACCATCTGACCATTTAATAAAGAGTATAAACACTCTGAACATGGGAGGGGTGATGGACTTCCAGAGGTTTATAGTGTTCACAAAACAGTATTTTTTGAGAAATGATTAGTAGGTTTCATCATATTCCCCAAGTCCTTAAAAGAAGTTAGAACCACTGTTTACCCTTCCCCATCAGCTGTAGTCCTTTCTCTAAATTCATCTGTAGACTGCAAATTATAACTTTTGCCTTTCAAAACTTAATTCATTCATTTAAAAAAGCTTACGTGACGGGAACTGTACAAGACAGAGGCTGCCATCTTCCTGTTTGAGCTGGACCCGGACTCTGCCCCTGTATTGAACATCACGATTCCATTCTCTAGAGTACATTTTATTTTTCTAACATAAAAAAATAAAAATAAAAGAATAGCCTTTAACAGTATATACAGAGAAGACAAGTAGTGATTCTACAGCCTCTTACTACACTGATGGACAGTGACTGTAATGGGGTATGTGGGGGGGACTTGGTGAAGGGGGGAGTCTAGTAACCATAATGTTGTTCAAGTAATTGTACATTAACGATAAAAAAAAGAAAAAAAAGAATAACCTTTAAGAAAGTTATTAATTAGATAAACATGGAAAATAGTGTAGGAAAAAAAAATCATACCTCAAGCAACACATTAAGTCCAACTGCTGAGCATACATCTTGAATCTCTGTAGCTGTAGGATTTTCAACAGCCTGAACAGTTAAAAACAAAAACACTAAACAGCTTAGCTTTAAGTGCATACTGCTCTATTGTGTGTAAAACACTTCAAAAACTATAATCAAAACACAGAGCAAAATCCTAGGTTTTCTTTTTACCAAGTACAATAGTTTCAGCTGTAATTTAAAAAATTCCTAGTAATAACACTGGTTCATATTTATGCATCCATCTCCCTTCAAAAAGAAGGTAAACTTCACAAGGGCAAGGACTGTTTTGTTCACTAGTATACTCCTCAGCACTTGGTATGATGCTTGCAACATAGGTGTTCAGTGAATATCTGTTCAGCAATATTACCAAAACAACTTTAGAAAACTGGTAATATTTACTAAGGCTGAACATGTACATTCCTTATGCCCATGCAATTCCACTTCTAGGTATATATCCAGAAAAAATGCAAAAATATGCTTCCTGAAAGTCATGCTCAAGAATATCCACAACATTCACTATTTATAATAGCTCCAAACTAGAAACAACCCAATTCTCTACCCACAGTATAATGGACTGAGGTACACTTATATACCTTTCAATACTAGAGTAGTGGTTTTCAGCAAGGCAATTTTGTCCCCTCATCGACATTTAGCAATGCTTGGAAACATTTTTGACTGTCACAATTAGGGTAAGGCACTAGGATAGAGGCCAAGGATGCTGCTGGACAACTTCAGATGCACAGGATGGTGCTCCCCCCAAAAAGAATGATCTGGCTCAAAATGTCAATAGTGCTGCTGTTGAGAAACCCTGCGACAGGGCAAATGAGAACAAACTACACTTGAAAAATGTGGATGAATCTCAGAGGCTTAAAGTTCAGTGAGAAAAGGCAGACAAAAAAGTACACAGTGTATAATGAATGCTATTTCAATAAAATTCAGAAGCAAACAAAAATAATCTTGTAACCGCACAGGGAGCCAGCCCCCTTTTGATGAAGCCCCTCAGACTTTTCATTAACAAAGAGAAGCCCAAGACCCTCAGTTATGACCCAGCTAGTGAGAATTATACTGAATTAGAGATGAAAGAAAATGGGAGTTTGCAAACCAAGGTAAAGCAAACTAAGCAGGACTCGTTCCCGCTCAAGGCTATAGATAAACTTTTGACTCACATATCCTTAGATGTTTTAAAGGAATTTAGATCCCCCTTCCTGGCCAAATGGGCCACCTTCTGACAAGGGCATAGGCCCTAGACTCGGTGGAACCAGAAGACCAATGACTAAGATTCCTGAAACAATTCCCTGTCAGACCAGGAGATTCAGGTTTGTTTGGTTTGGTAACAACCTGTGGTGCTGCAAGTCAGAACACTCGTTATCCTTGTATGTGAGATTAGGAGACAGTGACTGGCAGGGGACATAAAGGAATCTTCCTGGGGGCTGGGAGTGTGGTAATGTTTCCTTTTCAAATTTTTCCTTTTTAAAATTTGGGTGCTTGGTTAGCCATGTGCACTCACTTTGCAAAAAGTAATCGAGATGCACACTTAATATTTATGTATGTTTTTGTATATATGCTATATACATCAATGAAGTTAAAAACATCATTCTAGCAATCAGACGCCTCTGTCACAGTGGCTTGATGTCAGGTATTATTTTGAACCAGTGCTTTTACTCTGAGGCAGCAAAGTAGACTTTCCTTTAGACATTTAAGCAGGAAATAGGACATATTAAATAACACAAAAATAGTGCATTGCCTCAGGTCAAATTACCTTAAATCTGTCATTAGATTATAAAATGTAAACTGACTCTTAAAAAAAATAAGAATATCAATATTGAAAATAAAAAGCTACCAAGACACTTGACTTGGCATTAGGCACTTTTCAAAACCAGGACAATTAAGAACTTGGATTTTCCTACTCAACAGTGCAGGAGGGAAATCATATATTTTAAAACACTCTATTTTTAAAAAGTACTAATTTTAAAGTAAATTTACTCCTCTCGAAAAAAAAAATGTAACAGACATATAAAACTATAAAATTGACACATCTCAATTCTCTGTGAGTCTTGGTTTTAAAACTCAACTGTATTCTGGACTTTATATTGTACAAAGCGATAACGTTGGTTTCCTTTTACTAAGGGGAAGATTGTCATAACCTTGGTTTAAAAAACAAAAACGTGCAAACCCTGCAAGCACACCCCTTCCCCCAACTTCTTTCAAACACAGGATCATGAAGAACCACTTAAAAAATACTATGGCTATGAATTAGTGCCTTTCTAGATTTCACATTATTAAGGAAAGCACCCCAATTCTTGGCTAATGTTCTCCTCAGGCCCCAAACAATGCAGCAAAGTAAAAGAAACCTTTGCGGTCCTACCTGTACAATCTCCTCTAACCCCTCAAAGACCGGAGGTGCCAGCTTGCTTACCTTACTTATGGGGATTCGCCTCCCCTCCGCGATAGTCTTCTTATTATTTAAATAAGCAGGATAGATACAAATGAACCTGCCACAGAAAAAGCACAGCTGGTATCAATAACAGCAATACTTCCAAAAATTCATTCATTCATTCAGCATCGGGATTTTTGTCGCAAACTATTGTTTACCTAGCATTTTTTTCTTTAAATGTCTCCCTTAACTTACTTAAAATTTAACTTACTACCTTAGACAGAAAAAACATCCCTTGTTAGGGTAGGTTTTTAAAAAAGGAAAGAACAAAACAATGCCGTAACTGTTAGATGTCAGATACAGGTGACATAAGTTCCGAGGGTGGGGCCAGCTCTCTCATTCCGGCATCAGAGGTATTAAAGACTTTAAAAAACCCAAACGAGCCTTTCGGAACGTAACAATAATTAAGGGAACAGACTTTCCACTTTGTGATTGTTACTTAATGTCCTGTCCACGAAGCCCCCAAAGTCCTTCGTCTCGCTTACACGTAAACACTGTGCTACCTAAAGTCGTAACTTTAGGGACTCTGCGAAGAGCCTGGCGCTGCTGGCCTCCCGGAGAAATGAACGCTCGGGGCCAGGCCCACAGCCCGCGGCCGGGGCCGAGTTCCACCGACGAGCAGTTCTCAGCGGTGGGTAAGGCGGCGCACCCGCCGGCTCGCAGCAGGCCCCTTCCTTTCCAGGACCCACCTGTCCTGGTCGGCCGGGGAACGCGCGGCAGCACACGCCATCGTCACCCGCGCACGCACACCCGCAGCCCAGAGCCTGCAGGCCAAAAAGCGGCCGGACCCCGCCTCTGAGAGTTCCCAGACCGCCGCGTCTTCCGGAGGAAGTCCCGCCCACCGGCCCGCCTAAGCGTCCCCGGCGTTTCACCGGCTGTTTGTTCTCGCACCTGTCGCTCGGCTCCGGTCTCTAGCTTTTGACGTGGCGTCGGCTCCTCTCCTCTCGCGAGAGGATCTGAGAAAGCTTCTGTTTCCTTCCCTTCTCAAATCTCGCCGAGAGGAGGTGTCTAGGGTTCATGTCTAAGTAGCGTGTGGTTTTCACGCTCCTTCACGCCCAGTTTCACGCTGAGCTTGCGTGCCAGCTCCCCTTACCCTTGGGCGAGGGCTCTACCTCGGGCCGTCCGCGAGGAGCGCAGGTGTTAGAGCAGGCCAGGGAATGCCCTGTGTTTACTCTTTGTTCGGCCCCGGGCCCAAAATCTTGCTTTCAACTTAACGAAAACTGGATTTTTAGTGGCGGAACTAGCAAGGTTACTGGCACTGTGTCTCAGTGTGCTGTGTAAGTGTTAACAATTCGACTTTACACCTTTTAAAACTTCTAAAGGACAGCTATCCGTAAATTGTATTTTTGCATACTCAGGTTAATTGCAAAGCACTGTTTCAGCATTTCCTTTGAACTAAACACAACTTCGTCCGTATTTTAGTAGCTGCCGTTTATTCCGTACCTACAAAGGCATTTTTCAATAAGCAGGGTAAAGATAGGTACTCTTTTCTACAGATTAAAAAAACGAACAAAAATGCCCCCAAAATCTTGAGTGTCAGTGAGGTTAGGTAATTTGCCTGTTTGTGCCCATAGATGCCCAGCTGGTCTGACTGGAAGCCCTTGACGTTTTTCCATCCCCGCAATTTTCCTTGTAGTTTCTTCGTACTGCATTAGTTTGGTGCCGATGTAAATAAGTGGGTCTTCTTTCTTAAGTGTACATGACGTCTGTAAAAACAGCTTCATGCAATAACCAGCAAAACAAAACAGAGATGAAATGAAGCCAAGCTTTAAAACACTCAGTTTTACTCTGTTTCAGGACTTTGCTTTCATTCGTTAGTTGCATCGTGAAAATTCAAATACTTCTTTTCTGAAAATCAGAATATATACATATGTAAAAAGTGGGACGTGAACAAGTCAGTCTGAGATTTAATACATGACCTACTTACTACGGAGTTGTTTTCTTGGAGATAAAAAGACCAATATTAAAACTGATTACACTTCTTGGTTCATACACACCAAGGTAGTTAATGAGGGAGCAACGGAGTGAGTATTTTTTAGTACCATTCAAGGCTTGATCTGTAACTATTTAACCCTCACTGTTGTAGAAATATTGTACAAGTACAAAGAAGAGGGGAGGGGGCAGTGGCAGTATTGTTACATGATTATTAATGAAACAATAAGCTAATACAAAGTTGTTAAATGCTTATGCTTGTGGAAAAAGGTTGAATTAAAGGAGAATGAAAATGGACATGGGAAATTGTGGAGATGATTAATGGGCTTTTGAGATTGATGAACTTATCTTCACATCTAATTTTTATCAGTGTCTTCCTTTTCCTCATGTAAATGTGCCACTAAATTCATCCTGCCAACTTTGGTTGAGGCTGTTGGATACAGATGGGGTTCACAAAGGTGGAAAGAGAGGATCCAGCTGGGCAAGAGAACTTTACCTAAGACAGTTAAGAATTGAAAGTAGGAGAAAGAAAGGTGTCTAAGCAGAGGTGGGATGTATACGTGTGGGTGGGTGGGAGGAGACTGCTGGAAATGCAGGTAAGATGACCTGGGAGCTTTGACAGAAAAGTGTGTTAAGGGAAGAAGTGGTGGATTAGATAATACCTGTGCTACAGATCACTTGTTGGGCTCACACATCTGGCAGGGACATTTTTAGAAGTTACTATGAGCCATATTCTCTTCTAACTCTGGAACTCACACCAACCATCATTACTCCTGGATCTCAGGCCTCTGGACTCAGACTAAATTATAACATCGGCTCTCCTAGTTCACCAATTCGTATAATAATGTGCATTATATATATATATATATGTATGTATGTGTGTATATATATATATGTATGTATGTATATGTATATGTATATAAAATTTAGTCTGAGTCCAAAGGCCTGAGAACAAGAGTGCTGATGGTTACCAGTTAGAAAATATGGGACCCAAGAGCTCTGATACCAGTGGACAGAAGATGGAGGTCCCAGCTGAAGAGAAGAGAGAATTTGTCCTTCCTTCACCTATTTGTGGGCCCTAAATGGATTGGATGATGCCTGCCCACACGGAGACTGCTAATCTTCTTTATTCAGTGCACTGATTCAAATGCTCATCTCCAGAAACACCCTCATGGACAGACCCTGGAATAATTTTTTAAGAGCCATCTAGGCATCTCTCAGCCCAAATTGGCACATAAAATTAACCATCATAGTAAGTTTGGCAAGAGTCCCCCACCCTTGATATCTGATCACCCTTAATATCCGATCAAATTCCTCATCCCTACCTCTCATGTATATATAAATCCTTGGCCTGCCTTCAACAGGAATACCTTTACTCTTGATTTCCATCCACTGACTCCCTCACCCTGCTCTTTAGTTAGAAACCTCTACTGTCCACCACATTTGGAGCTGAGCCAATGTCCCTGGTATTACAATATTCTTACTGCAACAGTCTTGAATAAAGTCATCCTTACTGTTTCAACAAGTGTCAGAATAACTTTTCTATAATAACTGCCTCATAGCATGTTAGTGTCAGGAGTTCTTACATGGCGGCTGGCTTCCTTCAGATCACAAAGTGGAAGCTGCCGGGCCTTTTTAAGCCTGGTCTTGTAACTTCCTCTGGTCAGAGCAGTCATAAGGCTACCTTAGATTTAAAGGATGGTTACAGACTCACTGCAAAAAAAAACAAAACAAAACAAAACAAAGCATGGGATGGGAGTTACTGTGCCATCTTTGGAAATAAGATCTACCATAGTGTGAGAAGACTGAGAATTTACCCTAGGGTAACTAAAACTTAGGTGCACCACCTTGACCTAATGACAGAGCTTTAATGGTCGAGGGGAAAGTTCAGAGCACAACATGGTGTTTATGAGTACGATTTATTCACATTCCATATCTAGCCTCTGTTGGATTCATATCTGTATCTTGGGATAGGAGGGTAGACTCTAAGTAAAATCCATTTTAATGAAACTTTCATTAAAAATCCTCTATGGCATTCAAACAGAAGCAGTACTGCTTTTGTACTCTTATGGAAAAACGTTGATACCAAAGTGGAGGGCAGATGTTCCTCCCTCTCCTAGAGGAACGGTACAGTCCCCACTTAGGCACTACTAAGATTCTGGCTGGTGTCTGATGGAAAGGGCCATTTTGGTGGATACAGTTGATTTGAACTTGGTGTCCACTCCAAACTTTATGTTATGGCTCAGTTTGTGATACTGCAAGTGAGAGAAGGGAAGTGATGGAGGAACAGCCTTAAGAAAAGTGGTAACATAAGAACGTTCACTGAGCTGAAGACTCAAGATTGAAAAGATTTAGTATTGAAAGACAGGCTTATGGAAACAAGGCATAGCAAGACTTATGCCAGTAAAACTGCATCAAGATAAAAACAAAATCCTACAAACACCAAGGTAGGAAATAAGTTATTTATATTGGAAAAAACTCAGTCTGATGTATGAACTTCTTAGCCACAGTAAATATGAGAAGAGTTTTGAGAAAAAAACTAAACAATTTTAAACAAGCAAGGAATGAGAAAGTATATCCCCAACTTAGCTTTTCTGGAAAAAATATCTAAGGACATACTCCAGCCACGCCAAATTATAACAAAGAGTTCAAGAAAGTGGAAAACATGTAATACAGAGTAAACAGTCGTGGGCATTTTCATCTCATTTATACTCAGATTCAAATAGTTATTGATACTGATGGTGAAGGTAATTTGAGTTTATTAAGAAAAGATTCTGAAAACTAGAAACAAGTGAATACATTAATACTGGAACATATTTTGCAAAGAACTTAGGATTCCAAGTGAAATAGCATAGGTCACAAGTTTCTAAAATCATTTTAGCTGCTGCATCACCAGGGTTTTCATAGACTTTGACTTGTCACCATTTCACTGTCTCTTTTTTCTTTTGTCCCCCCTCATTTCTATTCCTCAGCCCCCATTCACGGGTATCCCAAGAATCCCAAGTTCTTGCCTCTCTTAAGCAAACCTATGAAAATTAATCCTCCCACCTAAACTCCAGGCTTGGTTTCACAGATGTCAAACTCATCAAGGTCCTTAGGTAAAGAAAAGGACCTGCTGAGAGGCTTCCTTTATTAAGAACCACTCTTTATGGAAGGAAGTTGTGGTTTTAAATAATTTCTTTTGTACAGACCAAGTCATCTGTCAAACACTGACAGTCTTACTGGTCCCATGGTTTTTCTAATCTCTTTATAATTTTATTTCATACGTTTGATACTATATCACTTGACATTTGAAGTCATACCTGATATTCATCTTCTCATGTTTGATGTCTCTTTCCACAATTACACTTTATCTGACATAAATTTGCCTTTACTGTTGTGTGTTTGCCTGGGCTAATGTGCTTGTACTTCTAGTTTTATCCATTCTGGATCATTTTAAGTGTGTCTTTTATTAATGGCATTTAGCTGGTAGTTTTTATTTTTATTTTTTGCTTGGTTCCAGTCTGAGACTGGTTATTTTACTCTATGTGTTTGATCCACTTATTATTTGATATTACTGTCATTTTATACTTCTTCATGACTAATTCTCCCTCTTCTATTTCCTGTTTTTTGATTTTTTGTTCAAGTATTCTTAGTTGTTACTTCTTGGTTAGCGATTTAGATGGAAAAATTACTTCTAAACATTGGGGCTATCACTAAATTAAAAAACTGAATGTTTTTTTCTAAGTTAAAGGTGAAATAGTGTCTATTGGCTCTGCCTACGAGATTAGATTAGCATGCTTTTATGTTTTCTCTCCCTATTGTTTCCAGGTTTGGGTTGGAATAATCTGGGATTTAATATTATTATTAAGCATTTCACCTTTCAGTTTTGTTATGTGGACATTCACACTGAGATTCACTATC